TTCGTATGTTGCATTACAACGAGTTCTATAAGCAGGTAAACAAATGGTCACTACAGTTGCAAAAGTTGTTGAACTTTTTATTAGCACACAATATGATAAACAAGACCAACAAGGAAAGGCGGCGTTCAATGAACGCAACCGCCACACGCCCCAGCAACAAGAGCCAGTTGCAAGGAGCCCAGGAGGATTCCAAACAAACACAGGACAGGGCACAAGGCAGAGCACGGACAGTCTAATCAGTAAAATGATATATAGAAAAAATGTTAACCTTTGTAAAAAATATGCTAGCCATTCATTTTAATCAAGACATTACTTTGATATTATAAACAATTTTGCAGATCAGTTAAATGCTCCGTAATTTGTACTGATTTTGCTTGTTTTCAAATTGATGAATATAAGATTATCACAAGCTTATCAGTTCGATTCTTAAAAAAATAATTCTCATCGCAACCCTAGGTAATTGATGTTAGAGTTTCATGTAAAAACAATAAAAGAACACTTTTTATGTTGTCTAAATATGGAAAGGACAATTATCCACTTCCTATTGTCGAAATTAATAGGTTACCAATAATCTAAAAACACAACTCTGTAAAGTCCGCGCAATAAATGTTTATATATTTTGCGTATTTATTTACTATATTCATAGATATCCATCACATTATTATACCAAAATGACATAAAGCAATTACGGTTCAATTAATGTCTCCAATTTTTAATTTCATAATACAAATGTAAGAGGAAATTTATAGTTACAGTTAACTGCTATATCTCCAAAAAGGTAATACACATGTAGAAAATACATTTACGTTAAACTTAATAGAATTACTATTGTATCGTTCAAAAAGGACACATTGTATCTGAAATTAATCCCTCACAATGATGACTTAGATGTCGAAAGAAAATGCTTTAACAGAACAAGTTACTCAATTCCCTTTACATTAATTATTATGGGCTACCAGAACGTTAAATTCAACAACTGCTTCAGTGTAACTTCTAGAAAGTACTGTAAATTGATAACAATTAAACACTTTTGATATTTGCATTTAATCAATGTTCTCGTGCTTTTATTATCGGGTTCTATTCATCTTTTATACATCAGATTTATTTTATGCTACAAATGTTTAAAAACAGCAATCCATGAACTAGAATGTAAAGACATTTTTTTTACTTCTAATCTCAAAGAAAATAGTACAAAAAACCTTCTGGCTCATCTTTAGGGTCTTCTGTCCGGAATAATAATGTCCTTTCTGTTTCTTCTTGTTTTGCCTTACTTCCATCATCTACAGTTGGATAGTCTTCATTATCTTCATTATCTGTCAAGACTGTAGTTTTTAGGTCTGAAACATAATTATGATAAGTACATGCATATCATCTTAGGATTTAAAAACAACATATCCATGTTCATAAAAAAATGACGCCATGCTGAAGACAACTACAAATGTATGTCGATGAGTTGTAATTAGATGATTGATCGTCTTATTAACCATTGCAATGATTTGGATTAGTTTAAGACAAAACATTAAAAAATATCTTATTCAAATATTGATTCCTATTTATGCAGATAAAAAGTGCAGATATATCCAAAACGTTAGAAAATTATCAAGCCATGGATATAAAATGCTATTTAACGACCGCGTATTGGCCTTTGTCTCTAACAAGACATAACATAGTTTCTTTTTTTCTCGAACTCACATTTTCAAAGTTGGTACTCTGAAAAAAAATGTATTTAGTGAATGCAGTAAGTTCATCAAAAAGTATCCAATAATTAAAATCAAAATCTATCAAGATGCAATACGCCGTTACTCGCCAAATTGTAATGTAATGTCATGTAATTATCCAACTTATATTACAACCGACTCAATGCCGCCGTGGTTGAAAGCAAGTGCTTTGTTCGAATCACAAATGCGGACCATTTAAAAAAACACACGCATACAAAACATTAGTCTGTTGTTTTGCATTACAATGAGTCAGTGTCCATTGTCAAATAAGGCGTCCGTGGTCGAGTGGTTAAGGTCGTTGACTTCAAACCACTTGCCCCTCACCGCTGTGGGTTCGAATCCCGACAGGAATTTGGATTCTTTCATGTGAGAAAGCTATACAGCTAGCTTAAGGAACGTCGATGGTTCTACTCAGGTGCCCGTCCGTGCCTGAAATAATGCACGGAAGGGCACCCGAGGTCTTCCTGCCCCAGTAAAGCTGGGACCTTTACTGTGTCGGTGTGACGTAAAACCTGATAAAATAATACAAATTCATTGTCAAATAGACATCTTCATGACTTCGTTGTTAATCGTTTTTAATGAAATGGACTATTGGTGTTTTAATAAAATGTGGCGACGAAAATAACAGTCTCATAAAGACATGAAACGGTGATACAACACTAGTGCCGTATATAAGTTGCTCAGTCGTCGGTTGCACTTTTCTTGACAACATTTGACAAAATTTGACCTTTGCTGGTCAGTAAAATCTGGCATACAGCCTTACAACTGATATAGAACTTCTCCAAAACATTTTTTTAATCTATACTGGAACGTATCAATCTCCATCTATAGTTTCTATATTCGTCTTACATTTAAAATAAACGTATCATATTTGTTGAACATATTATATATGTAGTCTTTGTTCCAGTCTTACTGAATGCAGACTTGAAAATTATACAATACTTACAAATGATCAAATCTACATTTAAACACACAGTTCATCCAACAAAGTCATTTATAGCATATAATGACATTGAATGACATTTTCATTTGAAGCAGTTATTTTCAACTAAATTGACAGATAAAATGTACAAAGCAATTGTTAGGTTACAAAACCTTAACTGCCAAGCAATCTTTTAAGCATGGTCAAATTTCCTTAGAAATGATTTTGTTATTATATACTATGCTACTGCTTCTTTCTTTTATAAATATGTGATCTTTTCTGAAATGAAGTATGTACTCACAAATGTACACGATAGTATATACGACTGTTTCATTTCGAGTAGAAAGCTATTTCATACCTGATGTTGTATTTTGAAGCATTTCACCCTTTTCAAATCCACTGTCACTAAAATAATAAACAAGGAGATAACCAATCTGTCCACAACCGAGACTGCCAAATACTACTCTTGTGACCAAATACTTAAATATATTTGATTGGTATGTTTATTCTTGACCCGATAAGTAATCTATTAAAGGTAAAACGAATTTATCCAAAATTATCAAAAATAATCCTACGATTTTGGTATAAACGTATAAACACATATCAAACAGTGTGAGTATGTTACATTCATGTGTATCAACGAAGTACTTGAATGTTATCTAGTTTCCGCAAAGTAATACCTGTATCAATTAAGCAAAAATACTGACCTACTAAATATATATGTCACCCTTCAAATCCACATTAAAACCTAAAAAACAATTTTTGTTGCTTATATTCTTCTATAAAATGAAATGTCTTTGCTCACCCTTTGAACGTTAAGGATATTGCTTCATTTATCTGTTTTATCCATTCCTAGAAACAAAAAAATCATTTATAATCTTTTTTTGCAAAATATATTATTTGTTATCTGCGTAATTGTTTTTTTTTATAAAATTGATTTTCAGTCTACAATACGTAAACTTTTGAAATCCTAAAAAAATGTTATATCATAGACAATCCGGATTTAAACAGTACGTCAACAACCTTGATTAACATATCATTATCCAAACGTCGAGTAAGTAGAGATGTTTATGAAGCACTTTTGCACCGGTATCTATTATGGTCAGTGTACATTGAAATGATATTTACATTTTAACTTTAAAATCAATAGGGGTCATCTACTAGTACTATCTGAGATGCATCAACCTATCATGTATGATGTGTCTAAGCTCTATTATTTGCACAACCCTTGCTTGACTTGTCGTTCATTGGGAAGTTTGACTGTCCTTCTTAGTATTTATAATTATCAATGCTCATATTCAGCGAACCTATTGTGACCCGAGTCATATGTATGATGTGCAAAGCAGGCATATAATGACAGTTATATACATGATCTAACCATGAGCCCTAGATACGCGTCTTAAAAATTGGATTTTTTTAAGTCCAATGGCCGGGTCATTACTATGTCAAGATTGCTCAATTTTACCCAAAATAGAACATTATCTAAATAATCTTTGGATGAATTTGTATACCAAATTTCATTTCAGTATGTGCAGCCTCTGCTACGAAAATAAACGGAAACCGCAAATAAGTTGAGTTTTTATTATGTCAAATGGGGCATAACTCTGTCTAAGACTATTTGATCATGCCTAAAACAAATCATGATATAATCTTTTGATGAATCAGTATCAAATTTGATTTCGGTCTTATAAAGTTCTGCAACGAAATAAACAAACACAGCAAATAATCGGATTTATACAAGTTCAAGGGGCAAAACTCTATTAGATATTGCTCGTTGTTACCACAAAACAGAAATTTTCCTACATATGTTTATGATTAATATGTGTATATACATTCTTTTGAATGTGTGCAATCTTTTAAAAGACAAAGAACGGAACTGCTGGCGGATAGACCGTCCCATAGATAACTGCAAAGCAATATGCCCTGCCTTTTCTAAAGTACATGAAAATATATACCCTCCTTTCTAATGATGATTTACAGGAACATTCAATTGGTTGTTTGCTTGCTTCTCTGAACGTTAGCAAAAATATATCATTGTTTTCGGATGATGTCGCCCTGAAAGCAGACAATAGCCTTTTTTTTAAACAATATTGTTTAGTATATCGATAAAAATATGAAAAAATATACAACTTAACGAAAATCTTCTCAGAACATGAATTTTAGGGTGTTTACACAAATCTTGGCTTATACCATAACCAAGAGAAGAACTTAACCTTCCTATAAAATTATCAAACAACTGGTCTTTAGTTTCTTACATGTGATGTACCATTAAAAATCTATTTTACATATTATTTACTTTATGATTTTTATGTACAAATTATATGACAAGTGAATAACGAGAAGAAATACTTGAATACAAACCTTCCAAAATTGCATATGGGGTAAGATATTTTTAAGGTCTTTGCACTCACATCTGAATACACATATAAATTCCCTTCTGAGATGACAACATATTGATCTTTCCCTGTGATATATAAATGATAAATCGTTTTGTATTGGCACAAACATGTAGCTTACAAAGAGCCATCCGATATCAGAATTGTGTAACATAACATGTGCGCTATTTTGATAAGAATACAGAACGCGCTGTTGACGTTGTCAAAATTCTCCATGGCGATGTATTTATGTTGTATGTAGATACTGTTAAAATAAAAAGTTTCTCACAGTCCACTTACTGTTTGTAAATGTGTTCGCTAGATATGTTTATTTTTGCTGACAAAACTCTTTCAACATATGTATTGTTTTAGATTAAAAAATAAGAAGTATATGAACTTTCGGACATCTCTCATATATCAGTGGGGATACCAAGAGAGGTTATAAACAGATACGTTACGATCATTTCCCGTGAGTCTCTGAAACAAAACGTTACGCATAAGTCGTTAAAGACCATTTCAGTAAATGGACTAAATATTTTGCAGTTCCAGTCCCAAGTGTAGAGACTACTTCACGAGTAATAACAATTATAAAAGCTTATAGGTTATGGGCACAACGAAAACATGCCACATTTTAATTTAAAATTGTTTATAGAACTATTTTAATTACTGGAAGTGAAAAGATCAAGAACATAAAAAATGGCGGAAACGCCGGGAAATTTATAAAACCTCTTCCTGGAATGATAGGAGCCAACCTACAAATGGACAACAGAGTGGAATTTTAAATTTGGATGTTAAGCTGATGCTTACAGGGCTTTAAAATAAATAACAGTACACAGCTTAGATCAAATATTGTAAAGTTAGGAAGTCAAGTATATTATAATGTTACATTGAAATCAAAGATATCCTGCACTTAAAATACCTTGCATTTGTTTACTTCTGAATGTCTGTTAAAAGCAACCCGCGACCCATTGAAGCGTGCAAACTCTAGAGTAAGAGTTTACATTTTGTGAATGGCTGAACAGTCAATCAATATATACGCAGGATATAAAAAGTACTCCATCGCTTATACAAAAACACAAGCATTATATCAAGTGTATTTCTACTGCAACATTTGTACATTTGTCATTTGGTAAAAAAACTGAACGTGTGAACCACGTCAAACACGGTCTATTCAACACCCTCAGCGATGATTATAAAAGTAATTTTTGAAAGCAATGAAATTGTGAACGAAAGCACAAGTCTGGTACAAAATATGAATCATTATTTAGTTACTGAAAGTGATAAAGCAATATTATGCAAAAAGAAAGTGCAAAAATATTCACAAAAGGAAGACAAAACAAAGCCGAAGAGAAAACATTCATATTGAAACAGGCAGCAATGCCTAATTGCATTGACAGTAGGTCAAACTTTCCGAGGAGGACATTCTGTCACAAATATTAAATGGCGTCGGTCTGTTACCTTACAGATCACAACAACTAACATCTATGATCCTGTTAAATTGCCTATAACAATGAATAGCCCCACTGATCTTACTGTAGCAGTATCCATAGACAAATGTGATAAAGGCTTGATATATAAACAGAAGAAAACATTAATAGATAGAAAATAGAAATAATAAACTGACAAAAATATCTTGTTATCAAACAAATTATTAAAGATGTAAAAATGAAAATACAATTGTCAGATAATAATGTTAAAATAATGAAAGTACATCAGAAATGTAAGAAATGAAAGTACATCATATCATTGTTTCTGTTTCTGCAGTATTCTGCCAGACACTATATATTTTAGTGTCATTTACGATATCACGCTTTCTACCAAATGATATCAGTTTTTGTGGAATTCTTTAAGCATATAAAGCAGGTTTTAGAATTTGAGTGAGTTGATTTCGTTTATTGAGTAGATAAAGTCGAGTTTTATTGTGTCATCAAAGCTGTATAAGTGAGACGCTTTAACAAAGCAGACCTTTAATAGTGTATGCTATAGATTATAAATGATAAAAAATGAAGATAATATTTCTTTTTGAGAATGGCAAAAGTAGTTTATTAGAAACAATATTTTATTTTGTCAAACACTCTACATTTGATATTTGTATAAGATAAAGATGTAAATATGAAATGAAAATAGTAACAGAAATGTGAGACCTTTCGTCCCTGGCATTGGACACTATTTTACAAAAGAACGTCATTTAAACAAACTGTTTCAAACAAATTATTTGATGTCAAATATATCGTCTCTGTTGTGTTAGGGAGACTGTACTAATTAAGTGTAGGGTAACCCCTCGATTTGACAAAACTTTATAGCGGTTTTTATGAAGAAAATGTCTCTTGCCAAATATTTTTGTTCCGAGAAGCAGATTTTAAAACTTAATTTAACGCTTTTATAACAGGCTGAAAAACCATTTTACACACTTTGTAACGGGCCTCTAAAGATCATTCATTTATTTTTTTAAATCTCAATCCAATTATTAAGGAAGAACGTACTACTATCACAAAGAAAACAAAACAAAACAAAAACGTTTGAGTACTTTTTGATAAAAGAGTTAAAGATGATACTTACAACGCTTTCTCTTTCCATGCTTGCTTATGCATTTGATCTTTAAATGTCCACTGAATTTATATTGACTTTCATGTAGATAAGTCGCTGCACCTTTATGAAGACAATTGAACTAAATTGATATCAACATCGAGCGCAATGAAAATGTTATCAAATACTTGATTATCTTTATTATACAAATGTTGAAAGAACTTGAAAAAGCATGACTTTCTTATTCAAATCATTTCCTTTTCTATTGTTTAGAATGATTTACCCCAGGCCATACATATACATTACAATTTCAAACATTTCTTAAATGCACTATTCAATATCATTTGAAATGTCAGATTGATAAATCATATGTATATATAAAGGCTCGTTTAAAGTGAGCGTTTTAATGTTTATGATATCAAAGCTCTACGTATAAAAAATGTGTTCCTTTGTTCATTTTTATAGCTCATTGTTCGATTGAAATATCACTTTTTAATTAACAGTTACAAAGTTACAACAAAATTACGTTTTCCTCCTACAGTAAAGACGAACGTCAAATATGACCTATACTGTGTCGGTGTGACGTAAAACCAAATCAGACAAACAACAAACGTACGACTAGAGTTTGTTAGCTTCACGTAGCCGTTGAGCGTCTGACTTTATATTTCAAGAACTAGCGACTGTTTCCCGCGTTTTAATGAAATAACTGATTTTTTAAGTTCCAATGCACGCTATGAAAGAAGAATATATATTTGACGTTCGTGAATATGGAATGCATTTATATATATGAAAGAAAGAAAGTCGTCAGCGGGCAAATTTACATCGAAAAATCACACATACATCGGAACGCCGCAGCACGTGTCGCGTAATTATCGCACGCATGCTAATAATATTGCCATGCATTTGTGTTGTTGTTTTTTTTTCCTTTTCGTGATAGACCTTATACATATATATTTTTTTAATTGTATTTGTTTATATATCAACAAAAATGTCAATAGATTTTAGTTCCTGAACTTATCTGTACGAATTTAGGTAGAGCGCGACGGTCCCCCTTTGCGAACTTTCGATAAGCGTCCTACAAATTTGCATGTGAAAAGTTGACTATTTGTAAGATGATTAGATTCCGTTTATTTTATACCAATTGTTTCAGCCCTCTTTGTACCGTTACATGACGTCAAAATTGACTTCAAAAGCCGGTTTTTGAACATGACGTTTTTGCGTATCCTTGGAATCTGTGCACACTTTTATATCTCCCCACCTTTTGCGTGATTTTTGTAAAATTCGACGTATGCAGATAGTTTGAGACTTCAAAGTGCGGCAATAATGTTTAGTTTATCATGAGCATTTTCATAGAGTTTTGCTGGTCCTACATAGTTATATAAAGACAGCAACACCAATGCAATTCCGTTCCATCGCAAAGCTACGGAAGCCATTGAGGCCGTTTTGAGTAAGAAATTAGAACTTATATGTTAGATCTTAGGACTTAGGTCTTAGTTCTTAGAACTAGAGGTTCCGTAAAGACGGAAAACGCCATTTTGTACGCAAGATAGGCATGAAGATGTTGTCAGGTAAACCTCTTATTAATTTTTTTTAAAATTTTATATTGTATTGTAAAGAATTGCAGAGATATAGCTATTATGTTAAAAACTTATGTGATTTTATCTGTATAACTAAAAAAGCGTGATGAAAAACAACCAGTTTCAATAAGAGACAAGGAAGGCTTTTTAACCCATTGAAGTTATTTTAGCCAATCCTTGCAGCAAAAAAGACCTACGATGAGGGACGCAAGCGTCAACACTGATATCTGTTGCCTGTCTTAGTGTGTAATTCCCTAACTTTGGAACAGTTTTTAAAATTGTATTATTGTCAGTTTGGTTGGTTTCGTAATGTGAACCCAATCATTTGATTATTTTTCCTATTGCAGAATCCTATTTATTTATTTCAGAACGACAAAAATAGTGCCTACATGGGCATGGCTGATTAGATTTTGCTGCTATAACACCAGTAATTAGTGTTGTGATCATGGATTTAGCTGTCATTCTCAGAAGGGCACATTTAACAAGATTAACGGGTACAGTCGACGCATTATAGGCCTCAAAGTATCAAACAGCAACAACTCGCCCGCAATGATAGCGTCATACTTCATTGACGCATTTAACGAATTAAGCAGTGTACAGAAATGATTATCAAAGTTTTAAGTTCATCATTCTGATTTAATTTTCAAGTGTAAATGCATGTATGTTTTGAATATAACTGAAGGATAAAGACACTTTTTAATATTTTAACAATATGTTTAAAAATAAGTATTTTGTTAACCCTTTATTGTGTTTGTTTTATTTTATCTGAACCATGCTTAAGAACATCCGTTGTACACTTTACAGCCTTGGGCGTGAGGGATGTTACACTTATTCATTATCACTCATGTATAGACTTAATCAAACCGAGTCCGCAATTCTTATGCTATTTTGTTGTTATTAATGCTTTCGAGGGATCACTTTGTTTCCAGAATTTTGGAGTTTCCACAATATAAGAGAATTATGTTGGAACTAGATTTTATTGGATTTTACCATGACTTCAGCATTTATTGACCTTTTTGTCTCATGGTATCCCTGAGTTCAAAGGAACTTCTTTTTTTTATAAATAGTCGATGAACACCAACATATACCATTGATCTTTACCATAAATATTATTGTAACAGCGCTGTAAGTATTAACTGTTTCCTGAGTGTGCATAGGGGTATGCCATTGACATGTTTTTGTTGAGATTGTGATATTATTTTTGTTATAAATGAGATAAGTGTCTGGTATCATGTTTTGAAGTTCACTGTAACTTGAATAAAGTTTCATGTTTGAGAACAGAGTTACCTTTCCTTCATAAATATATTTTGAGTGTGTTCTAAAAACTAAGTTCTAATGTCTTGGTTCTAATATCTAAGTTCTAAGATAGAATGATGTCCCTTTGTCACCTTAGAAAATTGTAGCAAATTGCAATTGTTTTTCAATACTACATAACTAAAGACAAAATTTTGTCTTTTAATTTACTTATATATCATGGTAACCCCAATCAGTATCAAACCGCTGATAATTTCATCAAAAGTTAATACAAAAGTGCACTTAGTTAAATTAAGGCTATTATTATCTTTCATTTAAGTGGCCACAGTGATCTTGACCTAGTAGAAATGGAAACACGGAAGGATTTACGGCTAATGCAAAGTGCACATACATGTTATTTTAAATGTAGAATAAACACACACTTTGATTGGACAATTTATTGAAGCTTTGACTCCCATTAACATCTTGAAACAGATCAATAGTTTTTTCAAAAATATTCCTGGCATCATTTAGCACAAATGATATATTAAGAACACACAGGTTGAAGTGTCTGTAATCACATAAATCTTTTGTTAGAATTACAATATATAATTAACAATATATTTAGCATAGTAGTTTATAAATAATATAATTTATAATTAATAATTATGAATGCCAACACAAAACCCAATTGCATGGTTATTGTAAGTCATTGTCAAAATGTTCCACAATTATATGTAAAACTTCAAGGTTCGTTTAATGGCTTTCCGTTATTCGACGACAATACTCGAACAAGTTTTTCCGTGTCAATGGGACCCTTTAAGTGATCCATTAAGTTTTTTATGTCTCCTTGATCAACACGATGACCACAGTTATGCCACCATATAGATTCCATGTACAAAATACATTTTATCCGGTCTTCCGAAAGGTATTTAAAATTATTTTGTGTTTAGCTTGTCACGTAGAGTTCTGCTTAGATCAAATCCATAAACATCTTTAGACATTTCATGTGTACAGGATTTGTGATCAATAAGATCCTTAAAAAATGAAATCCGTCAGTGCAACCTTGTTTACGAAATAATCCGTACCAGGATTCTTAACGCTGATTTGCTACACACTTTCCATACATAAAACACTTTCTGAAAAAATGTTGCAGCAATGCTAGTGTTGAATTTTCAGCTCTTCTTATGTCTCTGCGTAGTATGACGTTATCACTGCCGGCGGGTTGTCGCTGTTTGATACTGTTTAAGCCATACAATGAGTGGACTGCACAGATTGCTCCTAGGATGCACATTCAACATGGATTTAACTTGTCGTAACCATTCACATGCCACACAAAGTTAATGAGTTCTAGTCTTGTTAAATGCGCCCCTTCGAGAATGATAACTCAATCTGTGATTACAACACTCGTTACTGGTGTAATAACAAAAAGCCAAATTCCAAACTCCCATGCTAATTTAAAGTCAATTTTAATAATCCAGAAATGAGATAAAGAAAACTCTGCAATTGGAAAAATAATCCAATTATTTTAATACATATTAGAAAACCGATTTTTTAAATTATTATAAAACTATTAGATACACAATTTTAAATACTGTTTCAAATTCGATAATTGGGGAATACATAAATACAGGCAACAGATATACCAGTTTCAAAGCTTGTGTCCCTCATCAAAGAAATCTTTGGTAGCCATGTTCGGCTAAAATAGCTAGAACTGGCTAAAACAGCTACTTATGAAGTTAATTTGTCCCCGCTTGTTGAAGTAAGCTTGGTTGACCTTTGTCTCCTGTTGAAATCGGTTGTTATTTTACCAGGTCCTTATATATAATATATAATAACTTAATCTTTAAACGTTCTAGCTATATATATGTAGTTCTTTAAATTGAAACTAGAATTAAAGAAATAAAATAAAAGTTTATCTCACTTCCATAGTATTGTCTATATTGCAGTAATTATGGCGATTTCCCGCCTATACGGAACCTCTATGTTCTAAAAGCTAAGACCTGAGTTTTTAGATCTAAGTTCTAAGATCTAACATCTAAGTTCTAACTTTGTACTCAAAACGGCCTCAATAGTCTTCCGTACAAAGCGCTTAATTTCAGATAAAAAAGCAAATTTAAATCTAAATTTTAGCTTGAGCTTCAGGTGTTGATATTTTGTGAAAACACCCAGTGATTTATCAAAAAGGGTAGGGGAAATGATGTACCAAAAGATTTGAGTAGTTGAATCCTATTTATTTTAGGCATTTAGACTGCGTATACATTTTAAGGGACGTTAAAAGAAAAACAAATATTCAATTTTTCCTTAGTTAAT